GAAACGTTCATTCACCAGTTCCGGCGCGGCAGAATTCCCCGCCTGACTCCAGCGAGTTTTGCCGATTATTTATTCTGCGTCAATTGCTTCCTCACGGGCAATAGGGAAAATATGGACTGGATGGACAAGACGTGAGGAATCTCAGTTAAAATCCTGATAGCCTTTCTCAAATCTGTCAGGAATTTTCAAGCGCTGCTCATCTCCGACCTCTTCCGGAATCTCACCTCAAGGCTGATGGAAAATACCATCGACAACATTCTCGCAGGGCAAATCCTGCGGCTCACCAGTCAATTGGCGGACAAGCTTGAAAGCGACGAACTATACCATATGTCGAAGCTCGACCGTACAATACAAGTATACAGATTTTGCAGTGTCATTCCCCGCTCAGCTGGATGGCTTGAAGCAGTGTCATCGGCTGTTCTGCTAGCCAGAAGGAATTCCCAGATACTGGTATTTCTCGGCGACTTCCAACCCGAAGCTAACCACGCGGAATGGGTGCACGCGGCCTTGAATCACGTCGAACAACTCCGGGTCAATCCAGACGACGAGGATTACAGGACTTCCGCGCTCGTTGGTCTTTTACAGGCCTTGAGGGCCGATCCTGGGGCTCTCACTGTTCCCCCGCCGAAGACAACCCTTCGAGTCATTCTATGGGCATTGTCCGCTCCTGGAAATATTGCAGAAATCGCTTTCGAGCTTTTATGCAACGCCCCGGTCTGGTTCCAGGATGCCGAGCTGCAGATCATGATCCAACAATCCTCTGTATGGCAGCTTCTCGGACGCTTCGCCTCTACAGAATCGGCGAAACCGTGGTCCCGTGCAGCGTACTTTCAACTGGGCGACATGCTTGCAAAAAGAGCACAGTGGGGGCCGATCGTTCGCGATGACCTCGCTGGTTGGGTCACAGTATTCTTGCAGGAAAGAATGCCTTACATCGATTTCAAAGCCGGTCTGCTCCGGGTCTGGTTGAACCCAGGCGGCAACGAAGTAGATCAGACTCCGGAAGACAACCCATTCATTTTGATTTTCGAAGCGCTGTCAAAGGCTTGGGACGACTTCGACATCACCCAACCACGAAATATTTATCGACTGGCCAAGTGTACCACATTGGCGGCCGTCGGCAATCGCTACTACGGAGTAGGAAGAGGACTTCCAATTCCGCCAGATTTCAGGGTCACTTTCTCTGCTCGGCTCAGAAATTCAATTATTCAAATCACCGAGAAAGCTAGAGCAGAGATTAATTCGAGCCAGGGGTTAGAGTTAAGGAACGAAGCGTTGGGCAGGGCTGCCACCATCCTGGAGCGGATCGCCACGCATATTCCTTGCAAGGATAGTGGTGTGGATTCAACGGACGAGGAGTTGGCAGTTATCCGGGACCAGATTATCGCGTCGATCGACGCTTTGGAGGGGAGATTTTCTGAAATTTCGCTTGTACTAGAAGTTGTACAGTAGTCGGAAATCGAATAGCGCGTACAATGTTTACATTTGCAAATAAACAGCGAACCAACGCCCCGGTGAGAGCCTTTGCATGTGTTACATCATTTTTCGTGTTTTAATAAATATTGTATCGCGAGAGCGAGAGCTAGATGGAGCCTGTACGGCGTAACTTGGCGGGCGATGTCGGACTTGAGGCTTGCCAGTCGCAAGGAAGAGGGTAGGAGTTGAACTGAACTTAGTGAGATCCAGACAAGGCACACATAAAGTTTCCTCCGATCCACAGAACACTGCAATGGAGACGGCGTAGGCGGTGTATCAAAGGCTTCGAGGTCGCAGATAAGATGCACACGAGAATCCCACTGGCAAGGGAGTCCAAATACCAGGACGAATCACAACTTAAAGCCCAGGAATCAGCGTCGAAGGGCCGGTGCACATGTTAGCGGAGACGCGCGGCTGGTCAGGAAACTAGCATAGAGCGCCTCTCGGCGAGAGGCAAAGTTAAGCGCCCATCAAAACACATCAAGCGCCAGTGATCCCAGCAGCACAGCCTCCCGCCTCTTCTTCCTCCTCTCCATGACATCTTCCTCCAGCCGTTGTCTAGCCGTCAAAATCCAAATAAAATAGTCATTGATTATAGCTACAACCCGTGCATGGGTGCACGCTCTCCATCTATATTACATTATCTATGTGTATGATACAAAATGAGCGAGCGTCGAAAAAACAATGTGTATGCATCGAAAATGAGTGTGTAAAGTTTAAACCGAATAAAACAACCGCCGAATGCAAAACGAGGGAGAGCCTCATCTTAAGAACAGCCCCACCGGAATCGGTTTCCTCCTCAGCCCGCCCTCCCCTCCTGCGCTCGCGACGCTAAAGTCCGAGTGCCCGCTCTCCGACTGCCCGGAATGCCACGCAGAAGATGAAGAGCGCGAAGAGGAGCGCGAGGAAGCGGAGGCCGTGGACGCGCGCCGGCGCGGGGAGCGCTGTGTCGTGTAGGCTGCGTAGAGCGCGGCCGAGGGTGGGGACGCGGGGGAGGGGGGGTAGGGGTAGGACGCGAACTGCGCGGTCGCGGGGGTTTGGAGGGCGAGGAAGGAGGAGGGGGAGGTAGGAGCTGTAGAGGTGGCTGCAGATGCAGGCGAGCTGGAGCTGGAGCTGGAGCTGGAGGGAGCCGCGGAGCCGAGCCCGAGGACGCGCACGTCCGCCGCTGTCAGGCGCTTCCCTTTCCCCTTCCCTGCCACCTTCTTCCCCACACGCGCGGGGTACATGGGCTTCACCGCAGCCTTCGCGGGCGAAGCGGAGGGGAAGTACCGCCGCGCGAATGCAAACGTCCTGGGCGAGCGCGGCGCATGCGCGTGCGTGGAGCGCACGGACGAGAGCGTGGAAGAGGACCAGCGCGAGCGGAGCGCACGCTCCCCGTGATGCGGAGTCCGCGGCGTCGGGGGGAAGTACGCCGGTTGCTCATCCTCGTTCTCATCAGCATCGGCGGCGGCGTATTCAATCGGGGAGCACTCCCCGTCCTCGATGGGCGAAGGAGAGGAGGAGGCAGGGGCGGGCGCGACGAGCGGCGAGAGCGGGACGTCGTCATATGCGTGCTCGGACTCGTACTCCTCCCACTCGTCGTCGACATCGGAGGGGACGCCGTGCGGCTCCGCAACGAACTGGCGTGCGGGAGGCGGGGAGAGGAGGGCCGCGAGGCGATGGGCGCTCGAGCTCGAGGATGGGGAGGAGGACGCTAGACAACAGAAACAATCAGCAGGGGAACGGAAGGGAGGAGGACGGGACGCACGCGAAGGCGACGCGGAACGCGCGGAGAAAGGCCCCGGCGAGAGGAGCGGCGAAAGAGAAGCCGCGAGGAGGGTGTAGTCGCCGCTCTGCGCGTCGGTGGGGATGGGCGTCCGCGGGGGCGGGCGCGAGGGCGGCACCGCGAGCGAGGCGGTAGAATAGAGAGAAGGAAGGGGGAGCGAGGTGATGATGGGCGGCGGCGGCGGTGGGCGCGTGGGGATGAAGATCGTGCGGCTGAGGCGCACGGAGGCGCGGTTCAGTGCTGGTGTTGGTGCTGGGCCGGGGAGGACGACGGACTCGCGGCGCGATCGAGAAGTAGACGCGTGAGTCGAGGAAGAGGAAGTAGGGAAGGACGGCGGGAGGGGCGCTGCGAGGGTGATGAATGTGCCTGCGTGCGCGGCGTAAAAGTCGTCGTCGTCCTCCCAGAGTTCCTCCACTTGCTGCTCTGGGGTAGACTCCGTCGGCGCTGGGGACTCAGCAGGCGGCGGAGGAGGCGAAACGTTGCGCTTGGTAATAGTAAGCGGCTTAATGCTCTTGCACCGCGCGAGGCACGGCACTGAATGTGCTGCAATCGTTGGGCTCGGTGAAGGTGTCGTCGCGGGGCTCGAGAGGCTCCCGGAGTCACTCCCACTACCGCTCCCGCTGCCGCTGGACTCGTCGCACGGCGGGCGCGGAAAATCGAAGGTATCCGGCGAGTCGTCGAGGGTAAGGCGCCAGACGGCGGGCCCCTGCACGGCGGTGAAGAGCGGGGAGGCACGAGGGATGCGCAGATCCGAGACACCTAGCCGCCGTCTCGCTTTTACGCTTTTGCTTTTCTTGTGCGTGGGTGTCGCCTCTTCTACGACCTCCTCCGCGATTGCGGCCAGCGAGATGCTGCTTTTGCGGGTGCGGGTGTGCGATTGACGCTTGATGTAAGAGGACACTGTCCAGCTGTTAGTCGAGCTCAGAATGCGAGGTAAAGCCAACGTACAGCTCATCGGGAAAGGCAAAGGTCGTTAAGTTTTCGTGGGGATGTGAGGCAAGACAAGCTGCGTTTTCAAGTGCAGGACCTCTCGCTCTTCGCTATGGAGGCAGTCGTAAAGTCCTGTGAGAAGACGGTAAAGCAGCGTCCTCATGTCAGGCGGCTTTATAGCAGTTGCGCCGAAGTAAGAAGGCATTGTCCTTGTCCAGAAGAGGGCCACCGCGCCTTCGTCCAAATCAGGAAACAATGGGAAGCACGTGATCAGCGGAGTTTGAATTCCATTGTGCCTTCGCGTATCTCTTGTATTCCGCGCTTGTTCCGCGCTCTTGTTCTCCGTCATCGTGGGTGTGCCGTTGCGGATCTGCAAAGACAATGCTAATAGACGGCAACGATCTGGGTGCTACACGACGGGAAGTAAGTCTAACTAACATGTTTTATGGCAACAGCTACCGACTCGGACAGACTCGGGCTCGAGTCTCTGGGAAGCTACGGCAGTGCTCCCAAGGCCCAGGCTATTCCTGAAGCACGCTCCTTCGCATCCTAGCATCTGCTTGCTTGCCAGGCACGCACCCCGCTCCGGACAACGTCGTGCCCGCCCAATCCCCGCCTTCTCGTCTTCCACGCGCTGTTCTCGCGGCCTCGCTTTATCCTGGTTCAAAGTTGCTGCACCGTGCACCGCGGATCCGGATTCCTGCTATACGGTGCTTCTCCACCCTTCTCGTGCCTACTCGCGCCTTCCTTGGTAGGTTTCAGCCATCCTTGGCCCCCATCACGGCGCGGAGATGGTCTACTTGTATTGGTGCGCAGGAAGATAAAGAGCTCGGACGTGGTGTACGGCACATCCTCGCTCTCTATTGAGGAGATCCTGTGTATATACGGCGAGGAACCGGGGTTCGACTCCCCGCGTCTGAATGACTCGGTCGCTAGATTTTTTTGCCTCTCTTAATTCATCAACCTCGAAAATTGTATGGTTTAACAAGGCGCAGATTCTAAATAGGGAACTCGGACATGGTTTACGGTACACTTTCAATATTCGACACCTTGAGGTCAGCGAGGAACGGGGCTCAACTCCCCACGTCTGGTCGGTTCACGTGTTCTTTTCCTTTCTCAATTCTCCGACCTCGGAGTGTACGGCATAACAAGGTATAGATTCAAGTAGAGGCTCGGACGTGGTGTGCGGAACACCCTCGCTTTCAATCCTCGGCCACCTGTAAGCCAGCGAGGAGCCGGGGTCCAACTCCCCGCGTCTGAATTAGCCGGCACACACTAAAGTTTTTTTCCCGCTCTCAATTCTCCAACCTCGGAGTGTACGGGATAACAAGGTATAGATTAAAGTAGAGGGCTCGGACGTGGTGTGCGGAACACCCTCGCTCTCCGTTGCTGTGCATGTCCCAACCATATACCGCGAGGAACCGGGGTTCGACTCCCCGCGTCTGAATTACACGGTTTTTACTTTTTTTCCTCTCTTAATTTTTCAACCTCGAGCCTGTATGGTTCAGCAAGGTACATATTTAAGTAGAGGAATCGCCCTCGCTCCCTGTGCGCATACATACCTCAATGAGTCGAATGCGAGTGCCCGGGGTTCGACTCCCCGCGTATGAATGACTCGGTCGTTGTCGGATTTTTTGCCTCTCTTAATTCTTCAACCTTGGAAATTGTAAGGTTTAGAACGGTGCAGATATGAGTAGAGGACTCGGACGTGGTGTACGGAACACCCTCGCTTTCAATAGATAAAATTTATATTTGTACAAGCGAGTCACTGGGGTTCGACTCCCCGCGTCTGACGGTTGCTGAGTTTTTCTTTTCCTCTCTAATTTTTCAGCCTCGGAAATTGTATCCTTTAGCAAGGTGCAGATGTAAATAGACGGCTCCGACGGCTCGGATGGCTCGGACGTGGTGTACAGAACACCCTCCCTTCTTATCGCAAATCTTGCCTGTACCGCGAGGAACCGAGCCTCGACCCCCCGCGTCTCACTGGCCAAATCGATATATTGTTTTTTCCTCTTTTAATTCTTCAACCTCGAACGTGTCTGGTTTAGCAAGGTACAGATTTAAGTAGATGACTCGGACGTGGTGTAATACAGAACACCCTTGCTCCCCGTAAGAATGCACGCCGTTGCACTGCAAGGTACTGGGGTTCGACTCAGTTCGAATCATGGAAATTTACGCCAGGTCCCGCGTCTGAATAACCAAGTCGCGTCGCCACTTTTTACCTTTCTCAACTCTTCAGCCTCAGAGAGCCAAGAGTTTCGAAACCAACCGACGACATTTTTCCTTCTTCGTTTCCCGCACTCCTGAGCTTCACAAATTGCTTGGGCGGATGCACTGGCGTCTAAATATAAAAATGCGAGAAATGGCGGGTCTCCGCGTCCGGGAGGAGGGGCTGAGCAGAAGGAGAACGAAGTGGCGGAGTGCCCTGCGTTTAGTACAGTGGTGGTCCAATACTCGCTTCTCATCCTGTTCTAAAAGCTGGAGTCACCCGCCGGTTGAACCGTGAACATCGGATGCAAATTTGGTTGCTTCTGACTGTTCGGATATGCTTGCGCCGGATATTCTTCCGCTGGCCAGAGAAAGCTGCTTTGCCAGGAGGATTTTGCCTCGGCATCGACAGCAGGCGCTGGCGGTCGTGAACCACCGCATCGCCATGCAGAGGCGCGTTTCCACCTCCCCTTACGTCCCTCGCTGTGTGCCTGACGCGAGGAATACAGCTCGGTGAACGTGACGATCACGCGCGACGCGCACCTGCTCGCGGACCTCGCGGCGTACGGGACGCTTGAGCTGAGCGCGCCGCAGACCCTCGAGCCTGCGCCCGTCACGCCGAGCGACGCGCCTGCAGCGGCTTCGCGTTATAAGTGTGCTGATGGATGAATAGACACGCGCTTCAACTGGGAGCTGTCCGACCATATCTTCCGGTACGGGCACAGGAAACTCATTGGCGGGGGGCTTGACAGGATCCATACCGTAGACGAGCCTGCGTCTTTCTTTCTTGCTCTTCACTTCCCTCCGCATTCGAGAGTGAAGACTGATAATGGGGATGATGCAGACATCCGCGCGGACTCGTTTGTGGAGATGATCACGTTCTTCACGATGCTCATCCTCAACGCGGACGAGGCGGCGTTGTAGAGGTAGCTCGAGCTCGTTGGTGGGGCAAAACGGCGTGAATTAGCTAAGATAATAACATTCGCTACAGTCACATGCCCCTTGCGCGCGCTACAGCTGCCGAACCACTACGCCTGCTACCCGGAAAGAAAATTTCTGGCTGGCCCCAGGAATTAATTGCAGGGTGAGGTGGCAGGTGTTTGGTTTATGCAGAAGCGGCCATTCCATCCGTCGGTCTCGTGCCCCGTTCCCAACGAGTGTCGGCATCCTGTTGCCGGATGCATCGAAATTGATTGAGGCGACATTGGCACAGCTCGTTGAAAGCTCCTTCATTCGAACTATTCCAGCTCTGTGATGCGTCCCTGTACCATTAAAATGCCTCGGGCGTAGGTCTGTTTGCATCTCATTCCTCGCTCTCGGCAGTCCATTAAAAATAGTTACTCTCCCCTGAAACCCTGTTGTGATCTGCTGATCCCCGCGTAGCTGGGGGCACTTAGCTTAGACTCAATATCTCGAATCTCGCACCGACATTCGAGATGTCCCAGCATCACATAACTCTGCAACGGCACGAGTCTGCTTAGCGCCATGAATGATCGTGGTCAAAATATGATAACAGGCCCGTCCTTGCATTTCCGGAGCCTATCTCTCTTCGAAGCACTCCCTAAATCGGCCTGCTCTCATATCCAGTGCACCTCACCCCCACAACGGTTGCGTTGTCCAGTTGTAAAGGTGCAGTGCCGCCTCTTCAACGGTATGAGGTGCTGGTCGCCTGTTCCCTGCGGGTCGGGGAGGTCGCGGGTTCGACTCATTGGCCGCACCTCGTGTTTTTATCCATATATTCAATGTTTAATTCCAGTAACTCAGATGGGTCAGGTTTAACCTCGGGGGTTGTGAACCATTAACCATTGAAACCGGTTAAACCTTTCAGTTTAACGGCTGATTGGCTCGCTTTTGGAATCCATACCAGTAAATTATTTCAGTACTATTTAACCGAACCAAAGTAGAGACGTTGAACCAACTCGTTAAACCAATTCGTTAAACCAACTCGTTAAAACCAACTCGTTAAACCAACCCGGATAATCCATTAAACTGTAGCACACACTGATCCAACCATCCCACCGTCCGTCCAAATTAAACGCTCGTTTAACCGTTGAAACGGGGTTGAACGCTGCCGTTAATCCGTCGTTTTGGCCCTGAAGTGTGATTGTGAGCACCCGGTTAAACACAGGAAAAACATACATACCGTTTGGTAGGCTTCGCTTGCGGTTTAACAGGACTCTTCGGGACGTACGAGTAACTGGAACCAGGAATTAGGTTGCCGGCACGGGAGAAATCTCCAAGTAGAAATGTACCTCGGTTTGGCTTTTGGACGATTAGCTGCAGCATTAGCAATATTTTGACGTTCCTCGGCAGCTTGCTGGAAAGAATATTGAGAATGGGGCGAGCTGTAGGCTGAATCAAAACTCACTGCAGGTGTCTTGCGTGCTCTTGAAGGGCGCTGCACATTGGTTTCTTCCGCATCTTGCTCCGGCACAAGCTGCTGCTCCGCCTGACGCTTTCTGCGTCCCTTCTTGCCTTTGGGGGTCTTCTCCTCGGGACGTGGGGGCGGGGGACGCGCATCGTTGTCACCCTGCTCGTCCTCAGGACGTGGGAGCGGCGGAGGCGGAGGCGGAGGCGAAGGCGGGGGCGGGGGTGGGAGCGGCGCGTCACTGTCACCCTGTTCGTCTTCAGGACGCGGAGGCGGCGGCGGTGTGGTACCAGATCCGCCATTGCCACCCTGGCCATACTCAAAATACGGAGGAGAAGGCGGCCGGGGCGGCGGGGTGCCAGAATTGCCGTTCTCGGTGCGCCGGGGGGGAGACGATAGGGGCGGTGGCGGCGGTGCACCAAAAGAACTGTTGCCACCCTGTTCATCCTCGGGGCGTGGGGCCCCAGACGTCTTTGCTGCTTGAAGGGCGAGAATGGCTTGCCTGTCTCGAAAGACGAACGGGACGTCGGTGGCACATATTTTAATGAGGTCTTCCACGACGCCACTGATTTCTGAGAGCGACATTGCTTCGAATGGATTCCCAAGTGTGGGGCGGAGTGGAAATAGCTGGGTGTCGTAGAAATCATCCGGTCGTTTTGCGAGCTCTTCGTATGGTAGACTGTCGTACACGTCGTCGGATGGCCAAGTGTGATCTTCATGATGGTTAACGGCTGAGGTAACAAAGCCAAGGTCAGAACGCACCCCAAGAAACACGGAGGAATAAATCAGTGATCTGAATAAGCCCGGAACGTGTTGTTTCTTCGAAGTCGACTGCAGGGAAGATAGGGACCCCGGTGGCATTTGTTGGAATTGTATCCCAATCTTCACGATCTTTAAGGGAGCGTCCTACGAACAACATAAATATGATAGAGCACGGGAGGGAGAGATCCGTACTTGGCAAAACTTGTGCAGAAAAGGCATCCCATTGGGATCGGACAGCCGAGAAACTTGGAGCAAAATCGGTGAAGGAACGTTGATTCTCGTCAGAGTGCCCGTGCACCCTACATCAATCAACTCAGCATTGCGCTTGAGAAATGAAAAAAGACGTACACGAAGGTGGCCAGCTCCCCGCTAGGAGCTCGAAAGGATGCAAGCAGCACCATCTCCGCTGGCCCGAGGGCGCCATTTGTACACAAATCCTGGAGGGTTCCCCCGATATTGGTTTCGAAGTCGCGCTGGTTCCTAAAAGTCTCTCGCATGAGTTCCATAATTTAATATATATATATGGAAATAACAAGACCTTGAGATATCCACGGTGAGGGCCTGACTGCGAGCAGCCTCTTCGTATTTTTCCTTGATATCTGGTTGCGTGGTTGTCCAGAGTGTTTTGAGAGCAGACTGATAGCACCCAGCGGCATTGCCACCGGTGGTCTGCTTCAGACTGTCCGCCAAGGTAAGGACACCATCTTTTTCGTCTCGCTCGTACAGTTGGCGCGCAGTGAGTGGACGTGGGGCAGTGAAAATGGCGTTGTGGGTGGGTTCCGCGACGCTAGATTGGAGAGCACCGGTTCGCACCAGCGTCCCTTGCAAGAAGTTCCCAAAGTAACGTCGAATATACTGTCAAAAAATATCAGGAACACTGCTGGGGGCACGATAAATGCCACTGACCCCTTTCACCGCGCCATCTATCGTTGACTTCTTCCACAGCGATGGGTAGGGATAGTCAGCCTTGATTTTGACAAATATTTCCGGGACGTTTTCGTCCTTCCATGTCTTCGCCGCTTTCTCCGCTGAATTTTTGTCGCCATTAGAATGCTTCAGAACATATGATTTGAAGTCCGATTGCAGAGTTTTGAGATACACGAGTTGAGCATCGGTGAATGTGCCATCCCCGGCGTCGTTGGAAGGCATGGTGGTGGTGGTGGTAGGAGTAGGGAGCACGAATCGATTACGAAGCACACCAGGCCCGGGCCTGTCTGGGGGAGAGACAATGCAGGGCCACCCAGTCGTTGATGCTGATCGCACGATTCCATTTTCGTTCGGGCCATCGTAATTTTGGCCACCGATGATTCTTCTGGTCGTTAAGTCTCAATTGTCGACGATCCAAGGCAGAGAACAGATGTGAGAAGCCAAGAGTGGTACGCGACCACATGACTGTGACACAACGTGTTGCGTGTCACATCCTGCGTGGTAATCTACCGCTTGCACATAATCGTTC